TTCACCTGCTTGTCCTACTGATATTTCTTTTCCAATTTCAGTTCGTCTTTCCTCAGTATGTGATCTGAAATTAACGTGGCATTGCAGAGAAAGACCCTGCTGTGAATTGTGGAACAGTATTAAGACTTCCCTGCTCCTATTCCAAATACTTCACCCCATCCATGGTACAAATACCTTTGTATTTTGCAGGGCTGCACCTCGTTATATTCTGTGGGTGGGTTACACCGACTATGTGGAGCTGTCTGCATCTGGGCTAGTTGTTTTAGGCTTCCTTTATAGCCAATGAAGAGACATTTCGAAAGTGAACTCATGGAGTAGACATCTAAAATGTCATCTAGGTGTTTTCTGCTCTTTAACTGATCATTTCTGTGCACAGGGACATCCACGTTGGGACCACCTGTAGTTAGGTTGGGGAATGGGTACACTCTCCATTCCTGGATACATCCTCACCTGGTAGGGAAAGTTCTTGCCATTGTCCCTGCCTCACACTTTGGGCCAGCAGAGTTTCACCTCATTTCTGTGTCTTCGGCCTTCAGGGTCTTTAAACTTTCCTGCTGTAGTGCGCAGTACCAGCAGTGTCTTCAAGTCAGGACTGGCTCTCTGCAGCTCTGAGAAGAACAACTGTCTACACAGAGCAGTTTATGGGAGAAGCTGCTGCCAAAACCTTATTTCAGGGGAGCTGTTTGTAATAGCTTTCCTTTCAGATGTGTTATTAAAAAGCTTTCTTCTGGAGCAATTGGTGCTTTTCCAGTGTACAGTAGTTATTCTGGTATGCAGTTGCTTGTACTGGAAAACGGTTTCTCTAGAGGAATAGCATGTGGTGAACAATGTTTATTCCTGTAAACTGGGTCCAGCTTTGGGATGAGGAGGAAATCAGACATGACAAAGAACCAGCAGTGGGAACAGTCTGTGGGCCCATGCTTCAGTATAACTCTGGGGGATCTATCCCTATGAGACACTTCTGAATGATATGAGGTATAGACTCAGCTCAGGGTCCCCCTTTTCTCCACTTGATCCTAAGCAGTGGACTTCATGAAGACCTGTTTTCAGGGATTTTAGATATTATTCCCATTACTATATTGTAATTCAAGTCCAAACCCAGTTTGTCAACTTCCAGGCTTCTCCCAGATGTCCAAGGAACCTGGATCAGGATTGCAGTTTCCCCTCAAGTTCCTCCGAACACAGATGTCATCAACAACCCTCAGCTGTGTAGACTATCACTGTTCCCTGGAGGAACTGATCCTTTTTTCTAACTCAAGGTGGAGGGCTAAGCAGACCCAGACATGAAACAACCTGGCTCTGCAGATCTGGAGGTTCAAGGCAGGATGTTGAAATCACTGCATTCAACCCTCCAGCTAGAATGGTTTAGAAAGCTTATAAACTTCCTACCCACTCACTTCCTACCCTGCCTTGCTAGTCAAGCTATAATTTTTATTTTTAATGAAATCTTCTGAACATGTCACCATATCACTCTGCAAAGTAGATCACGGAAAGGTGACGGTCAGAGGTATCTTTCAAAGGGAGATTTCACAAGGATGAATCCTGTCATGCTTTGACCCAATGACCTCTCTTGGCATAACGGCTTTTGCACCAGGTGACCCAGCCATCAGTGCAATGAGTGACTCATTACAGATTTGTGTGATTCACGCTCTTCTCCTTACTGGATTGCACCATCCATCCTGGGATAGGTGAATCAATTTGGCTTCGACAAGATGTGGAACCAATCAGTCCAGGCTTATCCATTCAGCTGCTTAAGAAAAAGTCTGGTTACTTTGCTAAACTCATATTTAAATAGGAAAAATTACATTGCTGGAGGCTGATTCAGCACTCTGCAGAAGCCGAGGAGTTTATGAGCATGAGTTTATTTTCTGTCACTAGAGCCAGTAGGAAAACAGCTGAAGGGGAGCAGCGAAGGATTGGTTCTTCCTTTAAAATTTCACCTGTGTCTTTCCCCTGGAGTGGAGTGACAAGGGAGGGAGCCAAGTGGCAAAGCTGAAACACAAACAGCAAACTTGGAGCCCGGGTGTTAGTTTTGGATCTTGTCTAGAAATAACACCTTGAGCACAGTGAGTTTCTTGTGGCATGTTGTACTGCAGGAGAGAAAGGAAAGGAATAAAAGTGACAAACATTACAGACAAGTGCTCTTTTGGGCCAGGGTCAGAGGGCATGGTTCAAATCTTGGTTTCTTCCTAGGTATTGCCATATTTGTTGGTCCCAGAAGATACTGGAAGAAAATATTGAGATTTATGGAAGGAGCACAACAGAACAATGTTGTCTCTGATTTCCCTGCTGATATGAGCTTCCTTTTCTCTTTGAGTTTCCTCTGGGCAACTAGCAGTTTCGATAATTGCCTCCCCCCTCCTTGATTTTTTGACACTGTACAGATTGATAGGGGTAGTTCACTCTAGGGCACTTTGACACCACATGTTTGAATCATGTTGTGATTGACAACAGAAGTCCTTTGCTTGGGTTTCAATAGCTTTGGCATTACCACCAGGAGGTCAGTCATGAGTTTTCGTGGCAGAGTTTTGGAAATTTCTTTTCTTCAAGACTTTATGTTGTGAAAGAGCATCTTTGAATGCCCATGCAAGGCAACACGAAAGGTATGGACATTTCATTGTGTCTGCCCAACACTAGGAATGCTCAGCAGCTCTGAGCACCTACCCTGTTAATTTTACTGCTACATCCTTCCTTGTTTACTTACACTGATCTGTGGACTCCTGACCACCAGGAAGGGCACCAGTACCCCGTGCACCAGTTACTGGGGGAGTCAGGCTTCTCTGGAAAACTGTTGCTGCTGACGCACAACTTTAATTGTTTTGTGCTTAGATCATGTGTCCCTGGAGTTCAGCTAAATAGTATGGCAGGGCAATTCCCATCTTTGCACAGAGAAGCTCCAGCATTGGAGCCTTTCAGCCCTTACTCACACTTAATAACTAATAACTTTCAGCCCTTACCCATCTTAACTAATCAGTTATTACTTCTGAAAAGATCTTCCGTTTCTTCTAGAATTGCACCACTGTGCCTTCTCCAAGCTCCTTCCTAGATAATAACACTTCTATTTGTTGGGAAAGTAATTGCATAAGTCCCTATTGCTCATTTTAAATCATTGGATCTTGGCCTGCAGTGATTCACCCTCACAACACCCCACAAAGGGAATCCAGTGTCACTCTCTCCAATTTACTGATGGAGAAGCTGAGGTGTGGAAAGGTGAAGGATTTTCTCAGGGTCAGGTAGTGAGTCAGTCACAGAGCTAGTGTCGGAGTGCCCACCCCACCCAGGCTCCTTGGGCTTGTGTCTGTCTAGACTTTTCCAAGCACCAGCTTTGATGCTGGTGTTACTGCCGTCTTCTACCGTCAACCTGGGAGCCTAGACATCTCCTGTCCCTTCACCAGTTGTGAGGAAATGTCTGTATCCTCAACTCATAGCCAGAGGGGCTCAGATGCTGCAGACAGGAGAAATGTACCTACCTACCTGGAAGACAGCACCTCCTTATGCGTCTTGCTTCTCACCTGTCCCTCTCTGGTCTTAGGGCCTTGTCCCCAGCACCAGGGAAGGCATGGGATCCAGAAACCACCCTAAATAAGACTCAATAAACCTACACAACTGAACACAGCACCTGCACACCAGTGGTTCAACAAATGTCAAAACTCCCCACAGACCCTAGCTTAGCAACTGCCAAAAGGGAAAAAAACGCAACACACAGCTTCATTTCTGATACAAAGTCGGGGGAAAAGGACAGAGCAGAGTATAAAGGAGAGGGGAATGTAGGAGGAAGAGAGGTGGAGGAATGGTTGTGAATCCTCCATGGCTTGGGTGGTGCACAGCAAGAGGGTGAGGGGAGAGATACAGAGATAAGCTTAAAATTGGGTGTCCTGAGTGCTGATTTGCAAACTCCAGCTACAGTGAGCACGCATGGCTGATGGAGAGCTTGCTGTAGTTCAGAGGACCCCATTGATGCTGGTGATACCAAACCAGGCCTGAGCATAAAGTAATGAGGAAAGTTTCCTGTCCCTGTAATTATGTTTGGACCCGAGTGTTTCCCTGCATTTGATTTCTCACACATTATTGCTTTCTTAACCACATTCCTGACTCTGCTCCTTGGGCTGGCTGCAGTTTCTGTGTAAAATAAAGGCCCATTCACCACTGCACTGAAAAGCTCTGCTTTTTCAACAGGAAAGTTGATGGTTAAATAAGGGAAAGAGGAAAAGTTGGGCATCTGTGGCTTTACAGAGCAGGCAGGGGAACAAATCCAGGAAAGGGGTCCCCTTCAGTCCTGCAAATTCAACCCTGCTGCTCTGCATCAAGCCCTGGTGTGTCAAGGAGACCAGGGAATTTTTACTACTCGCTTAACAGAAACCAGATGCCACGAGTGGCACATGTCTGTTAGCAGCCCTCACCCCAGATGGTACGTAGAGACTATGACAGTTTTCGTTCAGGCTGTCCTATAGAATTGGCCCAGGGTGACACGGGAAGTTACTGAGGATGAAAAGACAGCAAGGGTTGGTTCCTGTGAGGGTCAGTCTGTGGGCTTCTCGCCAAGGTCCCCTATGCTGGGGATTGGCTCTGCACTGGGGATCTCTTATGCTTTTCTTGACAGCTTTCATGGGGACTGAGCTGCAAATGCTCTCCCAAAGTCCTGGGAGGGTAATTGCTGGAGTCAGGAGTTGCCTTGGCCTTAGCCTGCAGTACTGGTGTGTGGGAACAAACCCTCCTGCCCCATGATTTTGCTGCAGAAGTACCTTCAGCCTCTGAATCAGCACAGGAGCACCCATCACTTTGCCATCCTGCAGGAGCTTGGGAGGGAAAGAAAGCTGAAACTTTTTCTTCTGAAACTCCTGAATCTTTCACTTACCTATATGGGCAATAAAGAAAATTAAGTAAACCACCCACTCTGTCTCATGTTGAAAAGGAGGAAAAAAAAGTTGGATCTGAAGAGAGGGTGGAAGGGGTGTGGTTACCCAGGGGGTGTGTCAGGCATCGCTGAACTTACTTATAAGCAAAGGCAGCTCTGCTGAGGAAGAAGTATTGCTGAGGCTTTATCAGCTGCTGCTTTTTCCCTGACACCGTTTGAAGGGCACCTCTGGTGTGATGGGGAGGCAAAAGGACGTTCTTGCTACTATTGAGGAGCATCTGAGGATCAGAAACAAATTAGTCCGGCAAGCGCTGGCTGAGTGCCTGGGGACACTGATCCTGGTGGTGAGTTTGCAGTGCGGTGTGGGGGTGCCCTCTAACCCCTGGGTGTGGGGGAAATTGTCCCAGTGAAGGGGCCGTGCTGCTATCAGTGTTTTTACCTGGGATGAGCTCAGCATTGGTGCTACCTGCTGCAAGGGGAGTAGAGGAGAAGCCCTACCTACAGGAAAAAAGATTAATGCAAGTTGCTTTAGGATGAGCTTTCAGGTTGCTGGAAAAGGGTGGGCTCTGCAAAACTTGTTGGGTGTTTGGGGGCTTTTGTTTATCTGTGAAGTGCAGGGGGAGTAACATATCTCTCTGTAAGCAGCAGCAAGTGTTTTGCTAGAGATCATGCAAAACTTCCTTCCTGTCTGCCCTGGACTATTTTCTTGTCACTGAAATTCTTCAAGTGTTATTACTTGAGGTGAGGTGAAAGCTTTTTCCTCACCTCACTTTGTTTTCCTTGTGTGTCTTATGGAGAAGTAGCCAGAATTTAAACTAGTGTTCTTTTGCAGTTGGCTGTAGGTTCCCCAAGGTCTTATCAGTAGGGCTGCACAACACCACGGCAGCCCGTGCCGGCAGCTGATCGGGAGTTTGAGCTTGCCACATGCGTGATGCCACAGCATCGCTGTGGAAGTGTTTTTAAGTGGTGAATGGCAACAAAACTCTTCTGCCTATTTTAGTGCTCAGTTTCCAAAGGGATGGGATATAAGGGATAAAGCAGGGTGGGTATCTGTGTAAGTGACTCGGTTTGTAGATCTTCTGAGAGGCCCTGGCTTGCTTTGAAGTCAAAGGCAGATGTGAACAGCAAGGACTGTTGTATGTGAGGAGTGGGGAGCAAATACTGGTCTAGCAAAACTGGGTGGGGCTATCTGTCTTTGGGCATCATTATCCAAAAAATGCAGGACTGCCCAGTGGGCCACAGGTTTGGTGTGCTGGTATTGCAGCAGAAATTAGTTGAGGTTTGCACAGTGAGTATCTGCAGGTGAAAGTCTCTCTGAAGTGGTGTAAATCCACAGCAATCCTATAGGTTTCAGTGGAGTGGCTGTGGGTTTATGCCTCTTTGTAACTGATGGCAGGACTGTGTCGTGGCTTAAGCCCAGCCAGCAGCTAAGCACCACGCAACCACTCGCTCACTCCTCCCCACTTCCAGTGGGATGGGGAGGAGAATTGAAAAAAAAAAAAAGTAAAATTACCAGTTGAGATAAGAACAGTTAAGAACTAAAAGTTGGTGGGTTTTTTTTGGTTTTTTTTTAAGTAATGAAAATAAATACAACAAAAAGAGGGGGAAACAAAACCCAAGAGAAGACAAGTGATGCACCATCAGTTGCGCACAATCCACTGACCAGTGCCCGAGTAGCGATTCGCCTCTCCCAGCCAACTCCCCCCAGTTTCTATACTGGGCACGACGTTCTGTGGTGTGGAATATCCCTTTGGCTAGTTGGGGTCTGCTATCCTGGCCATGCTCCCTCCCACATTCTTGTGCACCTGCTCGCTGGTAGAGCACAGGAAACTGAAAAATCCTTGACAGGATCCACATTACTTAGCAACAACTAAAACATCAGTGTGTTATCAACATTATTGTCACACTAAATCAAAAACAAAGCACTGTACCAGCTACTAGAAAGAAAATGGACTCTATCCCAGTCAAAACCAGGATGGACTGTCTGGGCAGAAATCTAATGGTTGGAGGTGTTGAAAGCGGAGGAAAGCTTGATGAAACTGCATGTGTGCCTGGGGAACAATGCAAAATGCCCAACACATGATTTTATGCTTTCATAAATAAGACAATTTTTTGATGAGGGCTACTGAGTCTTGTGTGGGAGGATAGGGGATTCTGTTAAGATGCTGTAAATGCTACCACTGTTAAATAAAATTAGTTTTGCACAGTGCAATGGCTTTATTGTTAGAGTGACTGAGCTTTGGTGATTTGCAAACAAATCCTGTTGATTTTTCAGGGAGGGTTATTTGGAATTAAGGTGTGTAGAAACTGATAGAAAAGTGATTAGCAGGTAGAAAGTTGCTGTCTGTCAATCACTGATGTTGCTGCAGTTAGTCTCAGAACTGAAGCAAAGAAAGACTTGTAAGGTGGAATAATGGCTCCTGCTAGCCACGTTAATATTGCTGAGAAACAAAGGCCCAGCCTTTAGCCACGTGGATCTGAGCTTTCAGAAGGGCTCATGACTCAAAAAATGTTATCACTTCTGGTGGCTCTATTTGTTGGCACAACAAAGACTGCTTTTCCCTACAGCCTTGCCTCTTCTGGGCAGAGAGAAGTCGGGATATGCTCAGAGCCTGAGGAAGGGTCTGGTCCAAAATCATAGGCAAAATGAGGGTCATAATGGGCACCCATCAGCACTAGCAAAAGTGGGCAACACATGCCTTGTCCTCGGGAATACCACACCCGCTGTATTTTGTGCACGTGTGTGTAGTGTACAAGGAGACCTCTCACCTTGTTCAGGACTTCCTGAGCTGGTGTCTGGGGGAAAAGACTATGCTGGCTTTAGTGACACACTCAACTCCATCCTGTAGGTCTTGTAAAAGTCGCCTAGGATAGAGGTCTGCGGGTACTCTGTGTCCATGTGGGAGAAGATGGGGTGGGCTGGTGAGAGAAATGGGAATGTATGGTAATGCAGGGAGGGAAATGGGTTCCAGGGTAGCAAGCCTGCAATATTGGTCTGCTGGGCAGCAATCCCTTTCCATCTTGGGACTGTCCCAATCTATTCTTCTTAATGAAGTGACACAATTTTTCTTTATTTTACTATTTTTTTTTTCTCCCTACCACCTGGATTCCTTTTCATCTTTTTATTATATCACTTGACTGAATCAGGCCCTCGAAGGTGACTTTCTTCCCCTTTCAGATGGCCTAGGTGGAAGTTTGATTTGGGTAGTCCCAAGAGAAATTGCAAAAGTCCCTGTTGCCCACCTTGCCAGCAGGCTGAGCTGGGTTTGCATGCATTTAGCTGAGTTTGAGCCTAGTAAATATCAGTTATGGGCTTCAGACAATAAAATACATGAGGAAAGACTTGGGATCCATGAAATTGCCTTCATGGGAAGATGAGTTGACTAAACAAGTATGTCTAGAACAAAATGATATTAGGGATGGATTTAAGGTTTCATATTGTTCACAGTGAAATCACCTTCCTGAGCCGAAGGGAGTGAGTGTGTTTAAAGTTTGCAGCTTAATTTAAATTTCACTGTGTAATGTAAAACTTGTCCCACCATGGCTATTGGCACAGCTTCAGCTTCTTCCCTCCTCCCTTTCACTTGCATAATGACTGCAAGGTTGTAAAGATAGAAAAAGTTATAAAAGTAGTGCCTTTTTTTTTTTTTTAAGATAAGAAAAATAATCTAAGGCAGCCAAGCCTTGAATAGTGCAAAAGTGAGGTGCTTCTTACTTGCAATCTTATTTTGCTGTGTACAGCACCTTGCACAAAGTGGTTTTATTCTGTGGGTAGTGTCCTCAATGTTAACAAAAATAATAATGCTGATTCTACCTTTCCTTTGATAATTAAGATGACTTTCTCCCCCCCCGCATCTAAATGCACTTTGAGTGGTCCTTTAGGTTTGAACTTTACGCCCGATGTTGGAAGCACAATTTGCTGGCAGTAGTTAAGCAGTGCAAATGCTGAAGGCATTTTCCAAGTCACTTGCTGTTTGTGTTAGTACTGTAGCAACTCACTAAAGCCAGATTTCCAGTGGCAGGACTCTGCAACTCCCTTAAAGGCTTGATCTGTTTGCCTTGCGCTGCTGGCTGTAAATACCAAAGCTGGCTCTGTGTGCTTTTTACATTCACAGGAAAAGTAACTTGCTGTTTATAATTGATTTTTCCAAGTCAGGCTAACTATGATTCACTGCTTCTGAGGTACAAAGAAAGAACAAAACAATACCTAATTGTTTTTCAGTCAGGGCTGCGTTGAGTTTGTGGCCAGGTGGGAGTTTGTTGGGGTATGAGTGTGCTGCAGACCACAGAAACCAAAATATCAAAGTGGTTGGGATCATCAAGGAGAGTGGAGGCCACTCTTGGCAGTGCAGAGGTTAAAGCCACTGCTCATCCTGCAGCCATCTGGGGCAGCATGGCAGTTCCCACAGTCACTGTTTGATTTGAGATGATTTTCTTGAACGCAGTTTGTTGCATCTGGAAAAAGTGATTATTATTTTTTTTAATTTAAAAAATTTATTTTCTTTGTTAATGCTTTGCTAGGCTTTAAAAAGGGCTGGAAAGCTTTGCCGTAAGCGTGTTGAGTGCTGCTGATTGTTCCCTGCAAAGGGTCTGTGCTGCTGGGTGTGGAGGCGTGGGAAATGGCAGTGCTGCTACTCTCCCTCATGTCTTCCACCAGAATAGGTTGAAGCTCTTCATTAACTGTTCAAAACTGTCCCTCCTTGGTGTTCTTATGCAGGAGCAGAGACGTTACTCCTTCCTACAAACAGGACAGTTCAGGCACCAAGACTTGCCCTTGGTGAGGAGGCAGTTTTTCCCCAGAAGTGCCCAACCCTGTGACCAAAACTCCACCAGAACTACGGGTCTTACTAAGAGCTAAAGCCTCCTAATCTGAGGGATACCAGGGATATCAGAATAAGTGTTTTTTTTCTTCTGTGTGTGTGTGGAAACAAGATAAAAGTGAATGTCCTCTCTAATGCACAACTCTGCTGCTGATGGCTCAGGTTTCTTGCACTGAGAGCTGCTGATCAATCCAGCTTTGTGCAGCGTTGTAGCATGTGGTGTATGTGTGGCACAACCTTCCTTAGACCCTCTTATCTCTCAAGACCTGCAGTCCTGCCTGACTCCAGAGCAGCCTGCTGTGCAGAAAGATCTCTAACATCACAGACCATCTGCTGCTGCCCTTCGTTGTAGGACTGCTTCTCTCCAGGTTGGCTCCAGCCATGCTGGACAAGAAGCCAGACTGTGGGATCTAATGTTTCTCCTTGTTTTCCAGATTGTAAATGATGACCAGTCTGGTGGTTCAATAAATGCTTTGAGAAAAGGCAAAAGGGACAGTGCTCTTTGTGCTGTCTTTGTGGCTGCATGGGCCATGAGGTTGAGGAAGATTTCTGCATGCTGCTTGAGTAGAAAGAGCAATGGGGATGGATCTGTCTTCAGATCTACCCAGCTGGATCCAGCTCCTTGAGGAGGGCAGCAAGAGGCCATGGGGGATACTTACAGTGCCTTTAACAGCTTCTTGCTTTGAGCTGCAGAGAAGCAGTTGGAGGTGTTTAGAACTGGCTGAAAAGTTGCAGTCCTCTATCCCCTCGCTTTCAGCCTCCCTCCTTGAAGGGACTGTAAGATAGTCCTAAATTTCACTCTGATATGAAGAAAGGTGTGTATCTAATGCTTAAAATCTTTCATCAGTATCTTGGGGGTTTCTTCCTTTAGACTAGTCTCATGGTTTGACTGTCCTTCTGTCATCTTCCCCACTAACCAGAGGGCAGCAGGGACTGAGCAGCCCTTCCTGTCCACAGAGGTGATTAGGGTAGATTTACAGCAGGCTCCTTGCCTAATCCCTGGTTTATCTGCTGGCTGAAGAGGAAAGTTGTAATTCAGGTAATAGTGCTCCTTCTGGGCCGTGCCAGAAAAACTTGATTTAGAGATCAGTCTGTCTGAAGTCCAAAAGCAAATGCGTTCAGGCCTTTTGTGTTGCACTTGAAGGCATGAAAAAGCGCTGTCAAAGAGGAGGCAAGAAAGGGAAGAAACCTGGCTACTGTGCAGGGGAGTGCTGAGCACTGCCTTCCTCCTGAGCTCATCTATAGAGCTGATTTCACAAGGTCTGCCTATAAACTCAGGTGGCCTCAATTCTTCATTAGCTTTTTCAACTTATTTGTCCTCCAAGGTCTTTTCCTACCAGCCCTGACTGACTGCAGGACTTTCTTGTGTCCAGCCATTGAGACAGGGTTTTTTACCTTGGATGACAAAGCCAAATGTCCATTGTCCAAACATGTCCTGGACACAAGGAGTTTAAGGTCTCCCCGAGTGTGAAGTATCACCTGGTGACCTGCTACCTCTTCGTGGTTTTGCTGCCGCTGCTTCTGGCTGTCCCCTCCCTTGTACAGGCTCTGGAGTTTGTCAGCCCCTCCACCCTTGAACCAGTTCAACTCACAGATCCTGCAGAACATGGATTTTGTTATTTTTCATAGTGCAAAGAGTTGGATGAGCTCATGAGGAGTGAGAAGCTACCTGTTGTCAAGGTTTTTTTTTTTTTTTTTTTTTTTTTTTAAAAAAAAAAAAAAGTGTTGGAGGCAGCTTATTAAAATAAAGAGAATGAGGTGACATCTCCTCACTGGGTGTGCACTACTGTCTCCTGACCATATTGGTGTAAGATTGCCTAAGATTGCATGGACTTAAAAGCCATTGGGATAAATACTGAATTACTTTTGTTTGACACAAGCTAGCTAGCGGATCCTAAATGCTTCTCTGCAAGCACCAGAAAAGAAAGACTTAAAAATGGATGCTGAGTGTCTCGTGTCTCATATGGCCTGGGAAAAGGAATTGGAAGGAAAACTAGTAAATAGTGGAAGTGGAAATGTTGTGATAAAAATGGCAATAGCCACTACAACAAAACTGCAATGTCAAGCCACTTGCCACAAAACCATGGGTGAGCGTGATTTTAACTGGTTCCTAAAAGTCGAATGCTGTGGGTGGTTTTCATGTGTGAGAATACATGTTCATGCTTAGTGGACTCCACTGGTGCAGAGTGGAATTGAACACATGCATATCAAAGTTCAGACCTGTCCCTAAATATCACCTTACTCTCTTTATCTACTGAGGGTCAAGTTTTCTACTGTTATGCTGAATTAAGCCAAATAGTGCTCAGGGCTCATCTGATAAATACTTGTAATGCTCCTGTGAAGTGGCTCCAGGGTGGTTTTGCACGGCCCATAGACTGTCCTCTGAGGAAAAGCTGGAGAGCTATTGCCAGGTGTAGGATGGGGGAGAGGAGGATGGGGAATAACCTCTTGGGAAATGGCAGAGCTGGCATTCCTCCAGGTTAAGAGAAGACTTTTGTGGGTGAACAGGGAGATGGAGGGGGAAAATTTTACTCTGTGGTTTCTGCAACCTAAAGGTATGTGGCCAACCATCATCCACCTGCAGAACTGCCAGTTCTTTCAGAGCAAATAACTCAAATACCTTCATCACTAGGAATAACCTGAGGTCAACCCTGCCAAACTCAAATGCCCACTGCAGCTTTTTGCAAACACCATAGCCAAGTACTCTCTCCAAACTTCTGTCTAAAGCATGTTGGGGCTCTTCTGGGGTAAGAGAAGGATCAGATGTCACTGTGGTTACTAGCCAGTACTTATTTGCCCAGTTGGAGCCATGCTTCCCTGAGTGGTTTGGGCATAGCTGGGAATGATGTCTCTGTTTGCTGCACAATAAACAAGACTCACCTTTTCTGCCTTTGTCTGGGCATCTTCTTTGCCGTGGTATCCCAGCTGGGCAGCTCAGGGTTAGGACGTTGAAGGGGCTCTCCTGACTGCAGTCTGGTAGAGAGCAGTGCTTCATGTCCCCTCCATTAACTAACAAGTTCTACAGGTTCCTTTGTTCTTTCTATACAAGGTCCTGTGTTAGGGACCTGGCTTCTTGTCAAGAGGCACCTGTGTACAGTGTGTCCACTTTGTGAGTCAGCCCACAGCCTACCTGACTGCTCCTTTCCCATCAGGCTGAGTGCAGTGTTTGCTTTGTTACTAATTCATCAGTTGTCAAGGGGATGGGAGGGGATGAGTTATGTGTGGTTTGGCTTTGTCCCTGATCTGGATTGTGTATTGTTCAGTGGACATGTCCAGTATTGGCAGGAGAGGTGAAGACGGCTATCCCTGCTGCTTCAGTGCCTATTTGGTGGCTTATGCCCGAGGAGCAGAATCTGCCTCTGTAAATATGGGTATGTGGTCAGAAGAAATAAGACAAGCCTTGATCCCCAGATTTGAGGCATTTGGGAGCAAGTTTCTGCAAGACAGAAGCAAACCTGTCCTAGTTTAAGGATGCTCTCAGTACCTGCTAATACGATAATCCCTGGCATACACCAAGAATACGTTTGATGGAGTCAGTGGAAGATACAAGCATACAGATGATCAGGATTAGAGCTCCTTAAATTACATGGTGGGTAGTGGAAAGACTTAGCAAAGCAGAAAGCCTCCAGCTGGATGAGTGGTAAACTGAACTGCTAGAGGAAACTGGTTTGGTTTGCTGAGGGTGAGCACAGGAAGGATGGCTTTCACATGTGGTAGGGAAGAGAACGATCACCCATTTAGAGCAAATATCTTTGAAAAAGAGCACATGCCTCCCTTAGCTACCAGGAAACACCCTCTATCACCCAACAGAATCAGCTTTTTGTCCCCCAAGTGCTTGGTGTAGCCCTCATCTTAGACAGAAGGCCAAGCCTCTGAGTGTTCTGGTAGCAGGCTCTCTGTGGGATATGGGCTTTTCTTGATGGTGCCTGTGTCGTGTTGGTGCTGCAGAGACAGGTCATCTGTATTGCCCTGATTCTTCCTTACGTGATTTTGCCATAGGAAGGATATGGGTGGTTTGGGATGGTGCGGGCTATGCTCAGAGTGCCCACAGCAGAGAGTGTACCTGGGGCTGGGACAACTGTAGGTACCTCAGCTCAAGGAAGCAAAGACCTCCAGCCTCCAGTGGTGCAAACTTGCTTTTGATTTTGTGCCTGGTTTTGGTTCCCCTGGCCAGGGAGATAGTCTTTGGCCTTTCACCTTCCCTGCTGTCCATAGAGATAATGTCACGTCCTGCTCTCACAGATAATGCTTAGATAAATTGACTAAGGGTTGAAGCTTTGAAGACTTTGAGTCATGGGTGGGCTGTGATGGTGCATGCAGGTGAAGTGAAGCTGTTGCTGGCATTGATTAGCAACTGGCCCTGATGTGAAACAGAGAGAGTAATTTCAATCCCTTCTTCTCTAGCTGTTTGGTTGTGGCTCCGTTGCGCAGATTGTGCTCAGCAGAGGGACTCATGGAGGTTTCCTGACTGTCAACCTGGCCTTCGGCTTTGCTGTAATGCTCGGCATTTTGATCTCAGGACAAGTATCAGGTACGTTGTGGGCTGGATTTCACATGTGACAACTGTTGTGTAGGCCTAGATGGCTGTACTTCTCCTATGTGGTACTGGTATGTAAACCAGAGTCCTGTGGCTCAGCTCTGGGACCCGAATTCTGCCTGTAAAGTGCACTAACCACTAACCTCTCTGCAGGTGGACACCTGAACCCAGCTGTCACTTTTGCCATGTGCTTCTTGGCCCGGGAGCCCTGGATTAAGCTACCAATTTATGCCCTGGCCCAGACCCTGGGGGCGTTCCTTGGAGCTGGCATAGTCTTTGGGCTCTACTACGGTAAGTGCAGAAACTGTGTTTGTTGGGGTGAGACTACTGCTCTTCGTGACTTACTACAGGTTTCTATACCAGAGGGAAGTATTTTCTTGTAGAGCAGAGATCTGAGAAACATCCTTACTGTGCTTCTGGGAGGGCTTTCCTGTTCTCATGATGATGCATTCAGGCCTCCTCAAATCAATCTGAAGGTCAGCCAGCATTGTCAATGTGAGTCTTTGTTCTTGAGTAATGAACACTGGACCAAAGGATGGTCCCTCTTGTGTCTACTGTCTGGACTAAACCAGATCTTCCAGAAAAGCCAATGAAACAGTAGCAGTGATGGAGATTTTATATCTGTGCACTGTTCCAGAGCCATTTTATGTTCCTTGGTTTAAAAAACACCCCACAATTTCACCATGGGTGTCTTCTGCATTGTCTTTTGTTAGCTTCCAGACAATGGTACATCTAGCAGTTTTTGCTTCCCTTATCAGAGTGGTTCTATACGTTGGAAAGCATTCTAGAAATCCAGTTCCTCATACATCTATTTCTCCTGAGTGGTGTTCCTCATTACAGGGCAATATTCAGTGGGCAAGAACAGACTCTTTTTGCTGGAAATTGCTCTTCCTCAAATACCAAGGTTGACATGTTGACTTGGACTTTGTCTCCTGATGTCTGTTTCTGGCAATAGGAGCAATGTCCCCTGTAGCTGAGCAGAACATCTGGGTCACTCACTGTATCTTCTGCCTGAAGGGAGGAAACTGCCATCCCAGCACTAGCACCGCTATTCACTTTAGAAAGACCTACCTTTGTGTCTGTAAACATCAGGACTCCAGTTCAACACCAGTTACCTTTCTAGGTGGTGGGCTGAAGTCTCTTCAAAAGATAATTAAACTCATTTTAGCTGCCTAACCATGGAAGAGATACATTCAGAAAATGTCTTTTTCTCTCCATCAGCCATGTAGGGAATCCAGACAGCCCACCTAGGTTAGTTATCCAGCTCCTCATGGTGGTAGGCAAGGGGCCGGCTGTTTTACAAGACATCCCTGACAGGTGAAAATAATTGTGTATTGGCTTAGAGGAAAGAGCAATATCAGCCCAAATCCTGTTTGCTGTATATCAGATCCATAGCAATACCTTGTGTCCTGACACCAAAACAGACACCACAGGCACTTGTGTAACTCTGGGAGAGACTTGGAGTCACCTTAGTGTTTACTTTTGGGTTCTGACTCTTTCCTGGTGCCTGGCAAAGAAAAGAGATTACGAACAGGGACTCAGGCCATCTGCATCTAGCCTGACTGGCAAAATGCTGTGGTGGATGACACCCTAAGTTTTCCAAATGAATGTTTGCTCTACGTCAAATGGTTTTGCAACACTGGGGTGCTCAGGGAATTCCATCTCGATGTTAAGAGCTCTGTGCAGCCTACATTTTACTCATCTTCCAAGCAGGGTCCTCTCTCTGGTGCGTGTTGAAAAACGACTGACCTCTCTACCTTTCTTTTTTCTTCTCTGTCCCATCCCGCCCCCGCCCCTCCCCAGATGCCATCTGGGCTTTTGGCAATAACCAGCTGTATGTAACAGGACAGAATGGCACTGCTGGTATCTTTGCCACCTACCCATCTCAGCATCTGAACACTGTGAATGGATTCTTTGATCAGGTAAGAGGGTGGCAGGAGATGAAGGTACATCTGAAGAGAAATCTTTTGGGGTGGGTCTGGGCCTCTCCTTTAGTTCGAAAAAGAATTGCAATTAAAAGGAAGATATCCAGAAAGGTTTTTAGATCTGACACAGGTATGTCACTAGCCCATAGGAAGAGCAGAACCAGGAAAGACCCTTACAGCAAGAAGGCTTGTGTTAGGGGGATTAACCAGTGGTACCACACTGGCCAGGATGCCAGTGAAAAGGATACTACTTGCTCCTAGACCTTGAAGAGCCATAGCATTAGGAAGGATAGCTCTTCCTCACTCCCACTGGCTGTTGCACAACCCAGAGGTCAACTGAGTGTGGGGTGGTGGTTGGTGTTGGAGGTGACTGTCTCCTTCTTAAAGTTGCCATCAACCACAAAGGGACAGCAGCCACTCAGTTGGGGCAGGTTGGAAGCAGGTTTGGGAGGGTGTCTTCAGCTTTTCTGGCTGCTCAAACAGTTATTCATAGCTCTTCTGTGGGTAGGGAAAAAGATGTGGGCTTGATCGAGCCTGTGGACTGCCAGGAGGAGCATGTTCTACCCTCCCATTCCTGTGGGTGCTCAGCCTACTATGGTCTGATAATGCCATGGCATGACTTAATGCAGCTTTTCCAGTTTAGAGGCAAAGTCGTAAATGCATGAGACTTCAGAGGAGTTAAATTGGTTAAAAGGTTACTCTGGATTACATTCTTTTTGTTCCCTCTCTCTCCCCAGTTCATTGGCACTGCCTCCCTGATTGTTTGCGTCTTGGCTATTGTTGATCCCTACAACAACCCTGTCCCTACGGGGCTGGAGGCTTTCACAGTTGGCTTTGTTGTCCTTGTTATTGGAACCTCCATGGGCTTCAACTCTGGCTACGCTGTCAACCCTGCCAGGGACTTTGGGCCTCGTCTCTTCACAGCTATTGCTGGTTGGGGCACTGAAGTGTTCTGGTAAGTACTTGCCACTGAAGATCTTACGCATCAAGGGGAAAAATATTCATTCCAAATAGGTGGTAGCTCTGGAACTATAAAGAGTCTTAGCACCCATTTAGATTCTATAAATGTTTTCAAAATAGAGTTTGCTCTGCTCTGACTTAAGAAATTGCAGAAGCTGGACAGTTTCTAGTGGTGAGAGGAAACGACTTAACTTTACTATCAACGAGGATATTTAGGAGCATCCATGAGAAGTTCAAGTGCACCTTCAACGTGAGCCTATCATTTATTTTTTTGGTCATAGAAAATGGAGGGTGTTTGTTATACTTGGATTTTGTTGTTGCTGGAGACAATTAAGGGAGCCATGAGCAATACAGGCTATCAAGGGCTGGTTTCCTGCAAGCAGTTGGAGGGAAGTGAAGGCGTCTAGTTCAGGTACTGCAAGGGTGGAGAGACAGTCCTGGAAGCCCTGAAAGTAGCTGTTCTGAATTGCTTTCTGCCTGGACTTGCAGGGGGGACAATATCTTCCTTGGAAATTGCTGTGGACATGCAGGTGCTATTGTCTTTTGCAAGTCAGTGGTGATGTTTGGAGATGACCAGACCTTGTATTGTTCCAGATACAAACATGAATACCCTAATGCTTAGTCTGCAGTTCTTACCTTATGTATTTTCTTTTTGTTTTCTAGGACTGGTAAACAGTGGTGGTGGGTTCCGATTGTTGCTCCTTTCCTTGGGGCCATTGCAGGAGTGATGGTCTATCAGCTGATGATTGGATGTCACGATGAGCCTTCTCCACCTGCTTCTGAGCAGGAAACAGTCAAGCTGGCTAATGTGAAACACAAGGAAAGGGTCTGAGGAAGCTGCCACCCAGATCTGGCAGACATTCATTACTCAGGACTGCAGTTGACAAAGAGGAGGAAGGAGTTAAGAGCTTCAAGAACAACAAGAAGAGGTTTTTTTCCTGTCTTGAGATATTCTAGTCTTTTCTTTATGTGTGTGTGTCTATATCCCTGATGCATTTTCTTTAGGCATCTTCCTGTGAGCCTTTTCCCAAATGCAGTATCATGTAATCTTTTCCTAGTAGAAGGGGATTGAGGACTAGGAGTCAGGAGAGAAGTGGGCATTGCTGTCCAACACATTCAACATGGACCAGGTGATCAGGAATGTGGAGCTCTTTTGGGCTGTGTTGCTGGCCTTGCCTGTGAGCTTGGCAAATGCTTTCCTGCAAATCTGTGTCCCCATCATAGGATGGCAATCATGCAAAACTTTGTTTTACTAGTATGGAATGGAAACTCCTACATCCCAGAAAAAATTTGTCTATGATTCTGCTGTGGATCAAATTAATGGTTGGTGTTGCTCTAAAGTCAATAACTTGGCACCAGGAATGAACTTGTCTAAAGGATCTTTATTAGCCAGATTTTTACTCTCATGAATTCCTAGAATCGTAACAGTCAGCTAATCTATAGTGTCAGAGCAGTGAGAATGCATGGCATTTTGTTTTAATATTAAGACATTTTAACATTAAGACAAACACCCCTGAACCTTGGTGTTCTAATCAGTTTTTAATAATGTCAACTCCTAGAAGATATCATGTAGGAAATCCTTATTCTAGCTAGGGGCTAACCTGGAAAGAAAGCTTGGCTCCCTGTAGCAGCCTTTCTAATTAATCAGCTTTGTATATAAACTGCAAGCAGCTAATAGTACCGCTGGAAACAGTGTTGCTAAAGTTGTGTGTGTTCATGTAAATTTCACCATAGTGTTGTTTTTTATAAAGAATAGATTTATATATAAATATACTCCTTAAAGCTGTTACTAAATACCAGGGTTGGGATGAGTTAATTTGAAGATGTATGGGAACTGCCTAGTCTCTGACAGCTGTGAGATACTGTTGGATTTTTCTGGGGTGGCTTTAGATTATGGCATTATGTTGTTGGAGCATCTCCATTGCTACCTTGCAGAACTACTGGGGTATCCCTGGTACTCACAGCTGAGGGACTAAGGTCAGGAACCTCCTGCACTAGCAGTGCCGGCATCTCAGGGGATCCTTGGCTCTCCCAATGCCGTATTATTACAGAGTATTTGAGATAAGCAGTTGCTGGTTGTGAAAGAATTTGTTAGTCTGATACGTTAGAGAAACTCAAAGCCTGTTTCTTTAATGTGTGAATTCCTTGAAATATATATCTTTGTATGCATTTCCAGTCACTAAAATGATGTATTCTTTTTTTGCCTTTTTAAAAATAAAACGTCGATACTCACACTGTAAAGTTCTAGTGTTGGTTGTATTTTTAAGCAGCTGTCAGTAAACTTTACCATGGAAAGGAAGTAATCTATAACAATAGCTTCCTCAAGCCCTTTTCCTCTTCAGCCTGTAGAAGCAAAAGGGAATTAACCCTTTCAGACAATACATCTACATGCTCCATTTGTGTTGTATTCCTTTCCCTTTTGGGCTGGGTTTTTGGGGCAGGTGGGAGGAGATGGGAGTGCCTGTATTCAGGCCAAGGTATGGGCTGGAGCGGGGTGGGTCCTGCTGTCAGGTGCATTATTAAGGCAAAAGAACCAAGAGGTCAGCATCTGTCCCTTGCCTTTTATAACATTTAAATTCTCTTACTATTCTTTCAGTTAACATAATTTTTAGTATACAGCCCTACTCTGCATTCAGTGTACTGTCCAGCATCACCTAGCATATTTCATTTGTCACTATTTTATTTGCTGCCATGCAAAGAAAAGTATTACAGACATGAACCCAGTGCTCACAGAATTACACAGCTTTCTTCCAGCCTGTGCCCTCTGTAAATACTATTATTGTTGCTTTTTGACTGATTTGTGTACCGCTGTATTTTTCCTGTATTAATTGTACTGCCTTAAAATAACTCATAACTTCCCATACGGTGCCATACTGAACAATTCAGTGAACTCTGGATGAATGTGGCTTCCTGCAATTCACCAATTAGAGATCAAATGGCTTTTGACAAGAATGTTGCCAAGTTTGTTTGGTATGCTCTATCTGTAGTCAGCACGCTCCTTTATTCCTTTTCTATCTTGAAAGTTATCCCTCAAAATCTGTGTAGAAGTCTTCTATATTGCTGTGATCAACTAACATAGCTGCAGAGGTCAACCACCATTTCCCTTCAGGATTGTTAGTCCTTTTTCTACTCTTCTACCACATCATATCTTCACCTGACTTGATCAGTATATTAAAATTCTTACCACAGACGTTTACAACTTTTGATTCAAGATGGGGGGTTTTGGTGGTTGTTTTTTTTTTTTTAATAGATTTTTTTGGGGGGGGTGTTGTTGTGTGGGTTTTTTTTTGTTTTTTTTGTTTTGTTTTGTTTTGTACATTACCTACCTGGCAGGTAGAAATTGCCTTTTTCACAGAATCACAGAATCCAGTCCAACCATTAACCCAACATTCTCAACCACACCATATTCCTAAGTGCTATGTCAATGCAACACTTAATCACCTTCTGTACCCTTGCCTTACTTGTGCCTCAGTGGTCTATGTTATTACCCTTATTAAAACTGCAGTAAAATACTATACCAGTTTCAAGTTAAATTTTTCGTCTTAACCATATTTCCACTGTCTCAAGCTTTGGCTTTTCTGGAATCTGTTGGAGGAGCACCAAGTGCTGCTGAGTAGATCTATTACCGTGTGGAAAGGGTCAGGTTCAGCCTGCTGCCAGCAAAGGGGGAGTCATGGAGAGCTGAGCCTCATCTTCCAGAAGGGTCTGGCCCATATGACACATGATTAGGGCAGCTCTTTTTTATCCAAGTAAGGGGGGCAGTGCACAGGACAGTTTGACATGCCAGATTTCAAGAGCTCTAGAAGTGTTATTAAAGTGTGGGGATGGAAAGATGGAGTTAATTGCAGATGACATTTTCCCTGGCAGCAGGCATCCTTACATTGCTGCAAGTTGTGGTTCTGTTTGTTTTCAACTTAGCTGCCTTGAGAGAGCTTCTGGGCATTATTCATCTAGCAGGTCCATGCAAACAAAAGGGCTTTTTCTTTTTTTCTCCATACCTAAATTTCAAAGGCGATGAATCATCTTATAGTTAATGCCTTGCTTTTAGAGTCACTGGAGAGGTAAGACTCATCTGGCCAAATATAGTCATCCGGGTTTTAGGTCAGATGAACTCCAGCTGTCAAGCTATTGAAATATACTTACTTTGTAGGAAGAGATAAATCTACAATTTAAACTATTCATGCTTGACAGGGAGAGTAATTTGTCACTGGAACAAAATGTTAAAAGGAGTTGTGGATTCTCTATTGTGTGAGGTTTTCAAATTAAGACTGCCTCTCTTGCAAAAAGGTCATTCAGTTAAACCACAAAGAGTACTCTTAAGAGCAAGTCCCTCTGGAGGAAATTCCCAGAACTCTGTATTACAGAAGGTCAAGTTGACAGGAATTGTCCCTTCTGACTTTAAAACCTATGAAATTTATAAGGCAGGCTGAAAGTGGCTAAGTATTCAGTTACTCTTAGTTCTCAGCTTGTCTAAGGTCTTTGCTGCAGGTGCTGTCATGCAGTGGAACATCAGCTGTGTCCCAGGGAAACCTACTTTTGGTTCTCCTACTGCCTTGAGACACACGCCTTGAGAAGCTCTTCCAGGTCTGTTTGCTTTGCCCATCCATAAAATGGCAGCAGCAATGCTGACCTCTTCTAGACCCTGCTCTGTTTTGCCTTGTGGGAGCAAGGTGGCATTGTGAATCAGAGGACCAGTGGTGCTGGGCACTGCAGTGCAGGTCTGGTGGGGCTGCACTGGAGCAGCTTTCTACATGTGCCCAAAGGATATCAGTACTGACACAACAGCTGCTTGCTCTCTTTTCTTTTCCCCATCACCTTCATCTTGGTTCCTGACATCCTTTTCCTTCAAAAAGAGCCATTTGGCAGCTCTCTGGCGAAGGGGACAGGGCCAAGGCCATTATGAAAGAGAAACCTTGAAGCTCTTGCAAAGGGCTTTGTCCCAGGACAGACCCAAGACGTGAAAGACATGTCTTTGCCTGCCTTCCTAGAAAGAAGGTGAGGGATGGGTCTATTGAGGAACAATATTGGCAAAGACTGGGCCATGAAGGCTCATGTATTCCTTGCTGCCTCTGTAAGACCTTGGTAGTTCTGTGTTGTGTTTGTTCTCCCATGTCTCCTGTGCAGCCAAGAGTTCTGCCCTCATCCTGTATCTCAAGGCAGAAAGAAGTCCTAGCTCTCTGCCCAATTCACAGGATCACAGAATCATCTAGGTTGGAAGAGACCTTGAAGATCATCCAGTCCAACCATTAACCTCACACTGACTGTTCCCAACTACACCAGATCCCTAGGCTCTATGTTAATGCCCACAGTCCTGATGTGCCCAGGGCCTCTCAGTTTGTGGGCATTGAACTCTTAGGACCCTCTGTAACCTTGTAGGAGCATTGAACATGTGTGTCTTATTAAATCACCTTGTTTATTATTTGCTTTGTAAAGAAGAATAAAAATTCTTCCTGGTGCCACGAACTCCTCATTGAATGGGAGGTTCCTCTTCACTCTTCCCCTTTCAAGCTCCAGTTCAGGATCAATGTACCTCATGAAGTTTCTCAATTTCAAAGTGTACACATGAGGAACTCAAGGCACATGTGTCTGCAACCCAGCTGCTGTCATGTGGCTTGTCACCGCTGCAAAAGATTAATTTGGCCAGAGAAGTGAGCACAACCATCCCACTCCAGGGGGCTGGAGAATGATTATACAACCAAATGAGCTTATCAGATTGAAAATATTTTCATATCTAACCATATAATAATAACAAAAAAAACCCACACTGGAAAAGGAAAGTTCAATGCCATAAAGGTGTGAAAGCCACAGAGAGAAAGAATCATTTTAAAGGGTAACATCTTTTCTCATGAAGAAGCTGAAATACTCTACCAGCAAAGTTTGGTGGTGTGGCTTGTATTTATAATTTTTAATTAGGGTGCAGAAGTGGATTCAAACTTTAGTCAAGAAAGATGTCAAGATATTCTTTTATTTGCAAAACTACAGTCACTATTTAAGGTTTCCCTTAGCTCTCTAACAGCAGCCTGAAGAAAGAATGAAAACTGAAATTTTCTTGCTAAGCTGTGTAACAAACTTAGGGCTAAAAAGTTGGGTTTGATCTGTTGTTCCTAAAATGTCTTAAGAATTAAAAAAAAAATAAAATCATCTGATCTCCATAAAACCATCTTCATATTGAATTGACTTGCTTGCTGAAAGCAGCACTTCTCCTCTACCATCAAAGTCCTGCCCCTGCACATGGAACAGCACAGATTGCATGAAGGGCTCAAAGTCTCCATGCACATTTGGATAGGTCTGTGAAGATATGCTACTGAAACATGTCCAAAACAAGAGCTGCTGCATCGCTGAATGAAACCCTTGATCCCATATTTACCATAGTTTCAGGCAGCCCCGCAGTACCTATATCCCTTGGGTTTGTTTGTTTGTTTGTTTGTTTGTTGTGTTCTTTTTTACAGATGGTAGGTGACTGGTGTCTGGTATTTTGGAAGTAAAACCAGCTGCACAGAACAGGCATTGAATGAGATACACAGACACCTGAGAAACTTTATGACATGGAATTATGCAGGTTATGAAATCCAACATAAACAGCACTTACTAAATAGTTACATCAACATGAATGGGAAGACAGCCAATTTTGGATCCTTTCCCTTACCAGAAAAGGTATCCAGTGGTTTGTCAGCAGTACCTGTGGGGAAACAAGTGGAAAATATCACCAGATTTCTGCACCTCTGGAGCCCATTGGAACGTGGCCCTATCCCTTTAGGGGTCCCACTGAGTGGGTGTCTGCACTCGCACAAAGTATCTTGTTAAATCTGGGTGCAAGTGATGTGGGAGTCTAAATTGTTGTGGGGTTTCCTCTAATCCCCTCATTGCTCACTGGTCACACTGGGAATTTCAGGTGCCACCTTAGAACAGTCCTTCTTGCAGCAGACCCTGTCTTGGAGACCAATCTCCCCCTCATCCCTACACCTACATGACAGGAGGTGGTTACCCTTCAGCTGCTGAAGGTTCACCCCTCTCATGCTCAGCTTTCCCCCTTGGTGCCTGAGCTGCCTGTGCTTGCTGAGTGCAGCTACAGCTTGCTAAGCTCCTCGTCACTGTCTATGGGTTTGGAGGATGCAGCCAAGACATAAGATCTCACCCCCAGCTCCTGCAGCCTGGTGCAGTCACAGTGGGCCACCGCTCCCAGGTCCTGGTGCTGTGGTGAAAAGGACAAGTTGGTGAGATCTCTCCTTTGGC